GCTCACAGCAGTCAGGGAAAGCTCAAGGTTACACATCCCTCTCCTGCCTGCTGCACAGATCCCTAACACAGGACCGTGGATGGCAGCGCATTGAGTCACCAACAGGCGAGGGCTGCATCACCACGTGAGTGCTCCGACTGTGCTGCTCGCGACCGTGTGAAACAGCAACTAAAGATTAAACGTTGTCCCAGGTTCTTATAATTACACAAGATTAGCAGGTAGGTAGGCACGGCAGCAGCCTGGAGTAGTAGATCATATTTATTTCTACTAAAGCTTCTGAAAAAGCAACTGAGACAGCAGGGGTCAAACAAGCAGTTACCTTCAACAAGAGCCTTTGCGTGTAAAACCCAGTAAGGGTTTCACACTCACCTGTGATACACCTGCACCACTGTTGTTCACTTGGCATTTCTCAGCAAGGAGCATCCCGTAACTGGCTTAAGGCTGCATTGCACAAGAGGCCTGAGCATCCCTAGGCTCTCAGCAGGGCTTATTACCAAACCTGGGTGCAGGGGGAGGGAAGGGAGAGTGAGGGATGAGACTGACATGAGGGAGACAAGCAAGGACGAGTAAGTCTGTAAGACTATGGGTATAGGGGACACGAGCGAGGAGCAGGCATGAATTTACATTTAGGTCAGAGCAAAAGCCTCAGAAATAACTACAGCAGTTCCTGGCGCTCACAGCAAGAGATGCTGTTTGTTGAGCAGGATTTTCCACCTGGAAGTGCAGGATACTTGTGCACTGGAGGAGGAGGCAGGAGGAGCAGGGTTCCTCTCCAGAGCACATCGCTGTCTCCACCCCACCAGCACCCAGCGCTTCTTGAACACTTTTCCCACCTACTAGACCAAATGTTTCAGCCATGAAGAGTGCTCAAAGGCCCAGATCTGGGACAAGACATAGGCAAAAATAAACCAAGCACAGGCCAGCTCACAGAAACCTTCTATACCCATTTAAGTGTGGAAGGAGGTGCCCTCAGGCACAGCTTTTTGCCAAGACGTTCCGTGGAGGGGCTGGTGGAAAAAGGATCCCACCTACTCTTCCTCCAAATACAAATACCTCTTCCTCCTAATACAAAATCATACATGTCTTCCTAGCACGGGCATTAAAGGATTCTCTCCCTCTGCCCTCCAGTTTCAAATAAAGGTGTTTTAGGACCCCTCCATAGAAGCATGAATATTTTTAACAACTCAGAGTACATGGAAACCCAATATCGACTGTGCCATATTTTGCCATATAATGCAAAGAAGTTGAATCATTTAAATACTTTAAATACTTGATAACCAAAACACAAGCTGGGACTTGAATCCCCTAGAACCAGCTGAGACACTTCTACGTTCAGGAGCTCTGAGGGCAGCAGAGTTTCCAAGCTCCAAGCCCTTAAGATAATACGGTCCATCACATTTGAAGTTTACAGGCACAATAATTCCAGATGAAGGTTAGTCTAAACAAGGCTTACTTATGCCTTAAAAACCCCTTACCATGCACTGAAGGAAAGGACAGTTTGATTGCAAGACCGTTACACTTGAGGAGGAAAAGGACACTTGGATTTCACCTTCAATAGTTTTCATTTAGGAGAAACTCAAACAAGATCTGGAGCATGTTCAATTTGCCAAAGTGCCTGTTAGATATGGACACTTAAGAATGCATTAAGAGAAGATATTTTCCCCAGTCCAACAGTTAATCCTTGGTATCTAATGCAGGATGAGTTGAACTTCTGGAAAGGTAGTGAAGTCCTGTGTAATGTAGCATCAAGCTCTTACAAACCTGAAAAAATAATTAACTCTTGTTCAGGTTGAAGCAATCCACAGGCTGCAGAGTGTTTCAGATGGCTGGAATAATGTCAAGTATTTAGCAGCTGAGCAATCAAATTTTTCAATTTGATCAGAACACTGTTGTTGAAAAGAACACTGAGAATGCATGAATGAAGAATAGCAACAAGACTTAACAAACATGATTAGTATTATCCAACTGTTTTGTTATAAATATTATATACATTCAAACATCACATTAAAATATTATTCCATTACACAAGAAGAGATTAAGGCTTTATATTATTTACAGAAACAAGCAAGCACCTTAAAAAAAAATCATTGACATTTCCCTTCTACATCACAAGTTTGATACCTTGAGCTCCTGAATACAGCTATTTGCAATATGCCCAATGCTAGAACTATTTTAAACACTTATTATCAGGGTAGGAAACATGTAATAGAAGGCTCTCATCAGTGAGCACTCCACAGGAACCAAGACCAGCCTGTGCTGTACAGCAAGGTGCCCTCCATCTCCTCAGATATCCATTAAGGTACAGCTGAAGGCTTATGCAGAAAGGGTTTGCTCAATTCTATGTAGAGAGTAGAACAATTTTATTTTAAGGGAAACTGAAGACACTTAAGGACTTGTGGCCCACTGGTGGAGTGGGATTCTCCAAGTTTGTTCCACATTACATCAACTAGATTTCACATGACTCAATTCTATGTAGAGAGTAGAACAATTTTATTTTAAGGGAAACTGAAGACACTTAAGGACTTGTGGCCCACTGGTGGAGTGGGATTCTCAAAGTTTGTTCCACATTACATCAACTAGATTTAACATGATAGTGAAGATGGAACTGTATGTTTACCAACCACTAAGTGCATTGAACAGTGATGATTTTATAGGCTTCTGTTGCTCTGACACACTGTTTTCATGCAGTGCATTTGGACTCAACCACAGAGTGACAAACTCTTGTCACCATTCCCCCTGTAGGTCTTAGGCAACAAGCTATTTTGAAGTGTTAAATAATGTTGATACAACACATGTTTACTATGCCACCATGTATCAATGGAGTGACTGTCCTGCCTTCTGGCTTGCCCGATAGCTTTTACAAGATACAGTGATGAAGTATTTTCTAAGATGTAAGCAGACATGGCTAAACAAAAGGTGCTCTGTAATCATCTTCAAGTATTGTTTTAAGAATTAGTTCTTTAATTACAGTCTGTGTTAGCACTTTTTAGTTTGTGCTTTAGAGTCTGTTATTTCTTTGCAAGTCTTGAATTTGGCTGATGGCTTTCTTTTTTTAAAAAAAAACATTGGCAACAAAGATGAGGATTGCAGAAGGCTGGCAAAAGTTATTTAATTTTTTGAGCCCATTTCATGTCATCTGCTCTTGGCTTCTCCCCAGTAATTCCTTGGATGATGTTCTCCAAGCACCTCCAGAATCCTATCTTCTCTAGTGGATAGTTCAGCCAACCTGAGTGATTGAAAAGAGAGAGGGGGGGGAGAGAAGAAGAAGAAGAAGAAAGATTAGTTTAAGTTGTGTTACTCACAATTCAATGTCTTACAATGTTTATTTAATTTCATTAATTTAAAACACAAGGTAAATGCAAGAAGAGTTCTGAGGCAGAGAACTCTAGCTAAAAATACTGGCTATTGCACAAAGCTACCAGAAAGCTACCAGAAAACAGGCTAACTATTTAAATGGACTTTCACTAAAAGCAAGACATTCTGACTAGTAGCACCTTGGATTTAGCATTGACATTCAAAAAAAAAAAATCAGCACAAAAGTGCATGAGAGGCAATTTCATAGGATTTTATTTTATTTTTGGTCACAAAATATTGCATAACAACTTTAGGGCCCTGTTTTATTAAATACCGCAATAACTTTATGAAAACCAAAACAAATCAGAGCTGCCAAGTGTTATTACCCTGCAGAAGTTCTCCTACAACCAGGAACATTCAGGATAGCCACTACTGACAAGTAAGTCGTATTTCCAAAAACCAAGATTCTTCCTCATCAGATGTAGCTACAGTTTTAATGATCCAGCTTCTGCAGTGGACATGGCCTTTCCTTGCTCAGCTGCAAGGCTGCAATCCCACCTCACTCATGATCTTTGGGAAAGCATCCCATACAACTCTCCTTAACACAATCAGCTCCCTCAGAAAATGGACCCCTCTTGGTATCTCAAAATGGTAATCAGGCTGGAAGCTGCAGCACTGGAAATGCCAGAACGGTGTTATCTGACACTTCCTTGGCAATGATGAAGATCTTCAGAGCAGAGATTAGCTCTGAAACCAAGTACATTCTCTGCAGTTGGCAGTCTTGGTCTTAGGGTAACTGTACTCAGTAGTGATTACGTGCAAGGCACATTACAGTAACTAGTCATACTTTACAAAATAAAGACCCATTTAAAATAGCGTACATTTCTGTTTTTCCTCTTGCTTCGGTCCTAACTGAAAAAGTGTCAGTGCTGCAGAAGCACTTTGTATATTCATATATTTTTTTTTCAGAGAATCTCAGGAGTGGTATTTGAATATATCTACTTGTATAGCAAACATCAAACTGAGTACAGACATAAGATCACCCTAAATCCAAGATAAGTTTCTCAATAGGCTGTTCTCTCCTCTGGCTCACATCAGAATGAATGCCTGCTGAAAATCCAGAAGCTTTTCTCTGGGTAACAGTATCTGAGATAAGATGCACTTGCAAATGATATAATGCTCTTTATGTAAGAAGCAACAGCAGCTTTCAGACAATGAATGGAACAGGTTAGTAGCATGAGATTCCCAACGTGTCATGCACTCATATCTCAGCGTTGCTGACTAAGCTTATCAGAGTGCAAGTCACCTTTTAGCCAGTCATGAAGCTTCCCTTCACCTTCTTTTTAAAAGCTAAATTTACATTTCTTTTTCAAGCCATAACTTACATTTCTACGCAACAGTAACAGCTAAAGCCACATAAGCTCTTATGAAACTAAGTAGTTTTGCCACATCACATTTTCTTTATTTTATAGGCTGCCACCAAAGTGCATTTGCCAGGTAAGCTGCACTACAGACTGGCGAAAAGAGTTTGCAGGATGAACCAGAACACGTTACCAGTTGTAATGCAGAAATACGTCTCGTGTGGAGACACGTGGTGGATCCTGTGGTGTTTCCGGGGCAGGATAACATGCCAGTCCTGTAGAAAGACGACCCAACGAGGAAGACCAAAGTACGTGTGGGACCACTTGTGAATCTGGTTCGTCATGGTTATGAAGATGATCAGGGCAAAGACGTAGCACTCCCATGGACATGTTTCATATAATGCCTCTGCAAAACAACACGTGTAGTTTAAAATCTAGCTTATGAAAAGGTAGCTTTCTACTAAGAAAGTGTTGCCTTGCCCAGCTTAGTGCTGCAGGAACTAGTAAAGGTCTCAACCAAGTGGTTTTGTCAAGAGTGTCACAAGGGCCAGTGAGTCATAAACAATTGCAGAAAGTCACAAGACAGACTGGTAAGTGCTGAAGTTGTCACATTCGCATAACAAGGACACACAACCACCAATTTCTTCCATCCTCACAGAGACAAACGTTCATCTGAATATCAACAAAAACCCCGAATCCACATTAGCAATGAGTACGGCTTACCTGGGGAAAAAGAAACAAATTTGTATGCCATATTTGCCAACGGGACTAATGTCATAAAGCAGTTGTCTCCATTGGTCTCTATGAAATCATGTCTGGTAATTGCTGTGGGGTCAATATGATGTTCTCTAAATGGTCTGATGAAAGCCTGACCTGAAAGAATAAATTAAAAAAAAAAAGTCAAAAAAACCCCACGCACATCATGAATCAAGAACAATCAAAACAGTACTAGGCTCAAATCTGATGACTGCATTTGAGAGACTTCTTTACTACCAAGCAAGGAAACAAGATTCAAAATTTTTGCAGTAACAACATCTGAAATAATTTGATTTACATTTGCAAAGCAAAACCTAATTTCAAATCTAGTTTTAAATTTCAGTTTTATTCTTGTTCATGTTCACTTAGAACATTCAGTTTTTAGATCTCAATAAAGAAACACCATACTAATTTCATGGAAAAAATAAGTCACTTGCTAAGCAATAGAAACAAATAAGTCCAATGCTTTGTTTGGGCTATAAATGACTGCATTAGTAGACAAGATGAAAGTTAAATGGCACAAACCAAGTAAAACAGAATACACAAAAACTCTCCTCTAGGAATAGGAATGGCATCTCAAAATACAATTGCAGAGAAAGGATGTGAAATAGAGCAAGTAGGACAGGGACAGTAAAACGAGAATACTTATTTGCTTTGAACACATACATCATGTACAAGTGCAAAAGTGTTCTGATAAGTCTGAACTTTTGTGTTTACTTAGTGTAGTGTATTTTTTTTTCCTGGAACTATGCTCCAACAGGCTCTGAGATTCAAGGACTAATAAATCTATTGAAGGTAAATAAAAAAAAAAGTCTTAACTTTGCAGTACTGGTTCATATATTCCTGTTTAATTACAAAGAATAAACATATATACATTCTTTTAAAAAAATAAAAAGTCTCCTAATACTGTAATGTGAGGAGTAATTAATAGTACCTATGAAGAAGTCTACTTTAAAGAACAGATGTTTGCTTATTATAGGCATCAGTGAAGTCTCCTCCAAGCATCTGGCACTCGTAGCTACAAGTGATCTAAGTCTTCAGTGATGCCATTCAGTACTGCTGCATTTACTGCACAGGTGCCAAGGGCACAAAGAACTGCAGAAGTTTCTTACTAGAGCTTATCCAGGTTCTCAAGTCGGCTTTCAGAGAATTTAGCTACAGAAACAAAGTATCTGATGAAGCAGGACAGCACCTAAATTCTGCCCATCTCTGCATTTATTGACCTTTTGGAAGTACT